TGAGGTCGGGAGTTCAAGACCAGCCTGACCAACAAGATGAAACCCCTTCTTTAAAAAAAAAAAAAAAAATTGTTAAAATGGCAAATTTTATGTTATATCTATTTTACAATAAAAAGTCTAAAAGAGAAAATTAAGATACTTAGGTGACCTACAGCAACCAATTGCAACAAAATAGGATGTTAAGAAATTACTGTTTTATGAGACTATTGGAAATTTGAACACTAAAGGATGATTGGAATTATTAATTTTGTAAAGGTGTGATAAGACATTGCACTTGGCTGGGCACAGTGGAGCATGCCTATAATCCCAGCTTCTTGGGAGGCTTAAGTGGGGGAATCACTTGAACTCAAGAGTTCGAGACCAGCCTGGCCAACGTGGTGAAACCCCCGTCTCTACAAAAAATACAAAAGAAAAAAAAGATGTTGCAGTTGTGTTGTAAGACTCCTTGCTAGGCATGGTCACTCACATCTGTAATCCCGGCAGTTTGTGAGGCCGAGGCGGGTGGATCACCTGAGGTTGGGGGTTCCAGACCAGCCTGGCCATCATGGAGAAACCCCGTCTCTACTGAAAATACAAAAAAATTAGCTGAGTGTGGTGGTGGGAGCCTGTAATCCCAGCCACTCCAGAGGCTGAGGTGGGAGAATCACTTGAATCCAGGAGGCGGAGGTTGCAGTGAGTGGAGATCATGCCCTTGCACTCCAGCCTGGCTGACGAGCGAAACTGCGTCTCAACAAAAAAAATCCTTATCCTTCAGAGCTACGTAGTGGAATATTTATGGAATATTAGGATAAATGATATGGACATTTGGGATTTGTTGCAAAATAACCCAGAGGTAGAGGTCAGGAGTGGAGGTAGAGATGAGACGAGACTAGCCACGAGCCGATCATTACGGAAGAGATACTCGGAGTATGTGAGGGCTCCTTATCCTGCATGGTCTGTCTAGCTTCGTGTATCTTTGAACTTTTCAAGAATAAAAAAGCTTAAAAATTACATGTGTCCCAGTCCTACCAGAGACTCACCCACTGCCACCCTTGAGCCAGGGGGAGCCAAGGTTGCATTTTCACACGCATCTCAACCTTCTCTGCACTCTCAACCTGGAGAGCCCCAAACAGGGAAACCCCAAGCCCTGCTGGCTTCTGCCAACCGCCTGAGCAGAAGCGTGGGTCCCTCTGACCACCACCTCACCACCCTCATCCTGGTCTCGCTGTACGAAGCAAACCTCCAGTGTAGTCAACAAGACTGAGGACAACTGTAATCCCAGCACTTTGGGAGGCTGAGTTGGGCAAATCACCTGAGTTCGGGAGTTCGAGACCAGCCTGGCAAATCATGGCCAACATGGTGAAAACCAGTCTCTACTAAAAACACAGAAATTAGGCGCGGTGGTGCACACCTGTAATCCCCACTACTCCGGAGAATCGGATTGAACCTGGGAGGCAGAGGATGCAGGGAGCTGAGGTCGCGCCACTGCATTCCAGCCTGGGCAGCAGAGTGAGACTCCACGTCAAAAGAAAAAAAAGACAAAACGAAAAAACAAGACAGAGGAGGGGCAGAGTCTTTCAGAACATCTTTTTTTCTTTCTTGTTTTTGAGACAGAGCCTCACTGTGTTACCCAGGCTGGAGTGGGGTGGAGTGATCATAGCTCACTGCGGCCTCCAACTCCTGGGCTCAACTGATCCTCCTGCCTCAGCCTTCTGAGTAGCTGGGACTACAGGTGTGCACCATCATGCCCAGCTAATTCTTTTGTACTTTTGGTAGAGACAGCGTTTCACCATGTTGTCCAGGTTGGTCTTGAACTCCTGGGCTCAAGCCATCCTCCCACTTCAGCCTCCCAAAGTGCTGGGATTACAGGATCAGCTTGCCCAGCCACGAGCACATCCTCAAAGCTCATCCAAGCAAACTCAGCCGCCCTTCTTTGTCCTTGGCCTAGGACAGCCCCCAAAGTCCCAGGGCTCAGACATGACCCCTGACCTAGCTGCCCAGCTAGGCTCTGGGGCAGGACCAGTGGGGCAGGCTGTATATCTTGGCTCTTCCAGGGACCGTATTGAAAGGCAAATTGGGCCGGGTGAGGTGGTTCATGCCTGTAATCCCAGCACTTTGAGAGGCCAAGTTGGGTGGATTACCTGAGGTCAGGAGTTCAAGACCAGCCTGGCCAACATGGTGAAACCCCGTGTCTACTGAAAATACAAAAAGCAGCTGGGCATGTTGGCGCGTGCCTGTAATCCCAGCTACTCGGGAGGCTGAGGCAGGAGAATGGCTTGAACCCGGGAGGCGGAGGCTGCACTACTTATCAGCTTCTAACCTATTCAAGCCCATTTCACAGAGGACGGGGAGACTGGTTCGGAGGCTGCCCGAGGCAGAAAGAGGACAGGTGAGTGCCACCGGCAAATTTGCATTGTGCAGTAGGGCTGCAGAAGGTAGGGCCTGCCTTGGAGATAGTTTTACAGCAAACACCCATGTTTGAAGAAAATGGCCTGGGCATGGTGGCAGGTGTCTGTAATCCCAGCTATTTGGGAGGCTGAGGCAGGAGAATCACTTGAACCCAGGAGGCGGAGGTTGCCGTGAGCCAAGATTATGCCATTGCACTCCAGCCTGGGCGACAGAGAGAGACCCTGTCTAAAAAA